AATGGCGGGCACGATTACTCAAAACCTAATAACCCAATAGATTTCAAATTTTGGGACGTTTCTCTGTGAGTGTATAGCTGTCGTATGAACTAGGATAAAGCCAATCGGTGAAGATCTTCCTTATTTTTTAACTAAGTTTGTGGTCAAAAATAGGCGATTTTCCAATTTTTTTTTTCAAAGTTCCGCCATTTATTCATTGTTGTGCGAAGTCAATAATCCTAGTTCATACGAGAGCCAGATATGTACACGTTCTAACACCGTTGGAATTTTCGGATTCCGATGTTCCAGTGAGGAGTTATCATGCCCGCCATCAAAAATAAGGACATTTCTTTGATTACTAAAAACAACAACAAAACAACAACAATTTTTTTGTAAATTATTTTTCTTTCTTTTTAAATCATCAAATGCATATGTGCAAAGTTACAAACCTTAACAAGTATTAGTTTTCATTTACCAGCCCATTTAAAATCTTAAAAATAAAAAAATAGAGGAATTGATATCTAGACAGGATTGTGAAAATCGACTACTAGATAGAAATTTTGCAAATAGAGAGCAGGACTTCTATGAGAGATGCATTATGAACCTTTAAAATGGCCACAAATCTCACAACAAAACCGTGCATATTTGTGCAAAATCGGACATTCCGAAGCATCTTTAATAAAGTCCTATAGTTCATATAAAAATAATGGATTTATTTTTCCCAAACTAATATTTTTATTCAAAATAAAATTCAGCCGACATTTGTATACGCTCCAACATCATTCTATAAAAGTTCGGTTCCATATACAGGAAACAGTGTCATTGTAAATTCTTAACCTTAAAACACACGGAATTCCTAGATTCATAGGGAATCAAACCCAAATGTTTTTCTTTATAATATACACTTTCACTAATTCTTGATTTGTACTTTCTCCGCACATCTAGAGCGCACAACAGGCCTCATATGGCTTATGTGTATGTCCTTCTCATGTTGGACATCATTCTAGACTTAATTCAGTACGCTATACTAAATTTCGTGCAAACCGAAAGTTATATAGAGACTTTGATGAACCATTTACATTAAATCGGACGAAAATATATATGGGAGCTATAGGTAAATCTGAAGGGATTTTCAGGAAACTTTATACACATCATTCTAGACTTAATTCGGAACGCTATGCCAAATTTCGTGCAAATCGAATGATATATAGGGACTTTGTCCACCATTCACATAAAATCGGACGAAAATATAATATGGGAGCTATATCATAATCTGAAGCGATTTTCAGGAAACTTAACACACATCATTCTAGACTTAATTCAGTACGCTATGCCAAATTTCGTACAAATCGAAAGCTATATAGGGACTTTGATGAACCATTTACATTAAATCGGACGAAAATATATATGGGAGCTATAGGTAAATCTGAAGGGATTTTCAGGAAACTTTATACACATCATTCTAGACTTAATTCAGAACGCTATGCCAAATTTCGTCCAAATCGAATGCTATATAGGGACTTTGGTGAACCATTTACATTAAATCGGACGAAAATGTATATGGGAGCTATATCTAAATCTGGACCGATTTTCAGGAAACTTAACACACATCATTCTAGACTTAATTCAGTACGCTATGCCAAATTTCGTGCAAATCGAAAGATATATAGGGACTTTGTGCACCATTCACATAAAATCGGACGAAAATATAATATGGGATCTATATCTTAATCTGGACCGATTTTCAGGAAACTTACCACACTACTGTTTATATTCAATTTAGTACCCTATGCCAAATTTCGTGCAAATCGAAGAATATATAGGGACTTTGTGCACCATTCACATAAAATCGGACGAAAGTATATATATGGGAGCTTAATGTAAATCTGAAGCGATTTTCACGAAACTTAGTACACATCATTCCAGACTCAATTCAGTACGATATGCCAAATTTCGTGTAAATCGGAGAATATAAATGGACATTGGTGCACTATTTACCTAAAATCGAACGAAAATATATATGGGAGCGATATCTAAATCTGTACCGATTTTCAGGAAACTTAACACACATAATTCTAGAACAAATTCATTAGGCTATGCCAAATTTCGTGCAAATCGAAAAATATACAGGTACTTTGGTGCTCTATTTACATAAAATCGGACGAAAATATATATATGGGAGACTATCTTTAAATGGTCCACGAATACATTTTCTTGGACAAATACATGTGGTCTCTGTTAAATAATAAATAATAGCTGTTTTAAATTATAAGAAAAATATATTTCTTCAAAATTTTCAAAAATGACTTTCACTTATAAATTAGATTAGAACAATCCCATGCCTGCATTTACACACATTAATAATAGAGATCACGAATGTTCTGTTAAAGTGACAGTCGGACAGACCAAATACAAAAAAAAAAATCACCAAGATCTTGCCATTTGTTATTAATTGCGATGAAAAAAAACGGAAGTAATTCGTGCAAAAAAATTAAATCATTGTTGTAAGGCTGTTAGCTTTTGTTGTTGTTTTTTTTCATTTCAAACAAGCACCCCACGAGAATAATAATTGCAAAAAAACACAACATCACATCAACGTTGACAGAGAAGGAGAGCAACAAGTTTGCCAAGCCACTTGGCGTAAAAATATCATGCGTATGCGAAATGTAAGCCTACACACACACACATTCGTCGTTTAATATGGGTGTGCGTGTGCGAAAAAAACAATATATTCGCCAACAGACTTGTAAGCACCTCATCGGCACAGAACTGCGTCAATAATTACAACAACAACAATATTACGGCAGCAGCATAGAGGACAATGTGTGTATGTGCGGCTCTATATCCGACCGACCAGCAACAACAACACAAAATAACAAACGAAGGAAACCGATTTTTTAACTGAACCTGAACGCAAAACCGTAAGAGGCAAATAACGTCGTCGACAGAGCACAACAACAGCAGAGTGCACGCCGAAAACCGCCAATCAAACACAAAACCACGACGACGCAACAACAACAACAGCAACAACTGGCAGACGACGACAACAAAACCAAACAACGAAAGCAGAGGGTATTTAACCGACCTCAAATCAATTTGCAATTTCAGTCTATCTCCGTGTTGCAGCGTCGTTGCATGAACTCACTCTCCGCATAACCCAAACCAAAACCAATCAAGCAAACTATCTGATCAAACAGTCAAACAGACGGTTACGGTTTTAACGGTTAATTTGAATATTTTTGTGCGGTTTTCAAATGTATGAAAATTTTGTGGAAGAAGAGAAAAAATTAGAAAAATAAATTATTATTGAACTTGAATTTCGCTACAAATGCATCAAACAAAACGAAGACGAAGAAAAACTAAACTCAACGAAAAGTGATCGAAGAGGTTGTGAGTTAAGAGAAATAATAAAAAAAAACAAACAAAACAAAAAAACCCAGCTAGAAAAAAGAAGAAGAGGAGCTAAAATTATTAGCCATAAAACTGAAATACGTGTTGGGAATATTTAAATATAAATAAAATAAACGTAACCCACGAAATAGGTGATCGTTTATTGGGTTTCCAAGAGCCACTCATTCACCCCCTTGACTGATGGACTGACATTATTATCTAAGAGTTGTGACAAATTGGTGCGTGCGTGTTAAGCATAACGTGGCCTAAATAAAAAACAAACGCAACAACCTGCATTGCCCCCAAAACCAAAAGAAAAAAATTACAGCTCATAGGGGAAATAAACCAAACGACGAATTGAAATCAAAAGTGTTTTAAACCGAAATAAAAAAAACCAGTTGCAATTTTAAGCACGTTCACTTGGCCAAAAAAAAGTTACTCAAACGTCAAACACACGACGCAGACAGTTAAACATCGCTTCCTCTCGCCAGTCGGAGTCAGAGCTAGACCAAAACAAGCTGCACAAAACGTCTTCAAAAAAACAATTGAATGCGAGAGAAGCGAGGTGGATTACAAAACACACAGCTTGAAAGACAACTTGAAGAAGAAGTAATAATAACAACAACAAAAAACTGATAAATCATAAAAAAACAATAACAAATCGGAACGAACGGAAAAAAAACCGAACGTCAACTACTCGTGGCGCAATCAACTTTACAAATCATTACAACAAAACAAACCTACAAATGAACGGTTCGTTCAATGAACGGACGTCTAGTGAAGTGTGCACAAGAGCAATAATTCCCATATAAGAATTTCAATTAAGAGAAAGCCGAAAGAAAGAAGAGAGTTCGCAACTCATAACACATAGAAAGAAAGAGTAAAACAAACTAACATTAAAAACATATGTACGTGTTGTTGGCGCAGAGACCTCAATAACGTAACGTTATAACAACGACCTTGAAATTGTAAATAAATAAAAACGAAACAAAACGAACGCCATCTAGAGGAAAGTGAAAGCAATACACACACAAACAAACTCTAATGCCCCCAAGGCATTAGCAAGGGAATTGACATTAATCGTGCTGTGAACAACAAATCAACGACCTTGAAAATCAACAACTTCCATGCTCGATATGTTGGGCGCCATTTAGAGAAGAAAGTGAAAGTGCAACATAAGAAAGAAACTCTAATGCTATTAAATTTCCCATGTTGTGGTTTTTTGCATAACGGTATTGACATTACAAGCCGAGTGCTGTGAACTTTAAATTGACTTTGGACCAATAAACCTAAGCTTTTTTGTTGGAGTGCAAGGCAACAGACACGAACGATCAAAAGGCCAGCAATAATGTTTGGTTCACACGATTCCGTTTAGAGAGGAATACAACAGACAAAACAGAAAAAAATAACAAGAAAATCGAATAGTTTTTCCAAGCAATTGCCAGCCAACAAAAAGCTAAGCTACCAATACTCACAAAGAAGAAGAAGAAAAACCAATTGAAATAAAAAAAAAATATTTGCAAACTAAAAAAAAATAACCTAACTTGCAAATTTTTGATTACATTTGTTTCTTATAGAAACGTTAACATTTAAATAAAGTCAATTAAATTATTTAAAAAAAATCCCTAAAAATGAGTGACAAAGATACCGCAATGTCCAACGCTCCCCCGAGTATACCACAAGCAGAGGAAATAATCGATCTTAGTCGTAGAGATTCTAAGGCACTGCCGGAGTCGGATGATCAATGGCCGGAAGGTGAGCGAGAAGTGTGTGAAGTTCGCAGCCAACATATAAAGAATGGACACACGTTTGTGGTGACCACAGTGCGTACCGAAACCACTACCATGACCAGCACGGAAACTAGCATGGAAACTATTAAAAAACAGCAAGAAGAAGAGAAGGATAATCTAAAAGCCATACCCATAGGGATAGAAGAAAATCTTCCCTCAATTAAAAATATGGAAGAGGAACAACCATGTTGTAGCAACAGCAGTTCCTGTTCATCACCGGAACACACAAATAAAGCCATTGTACCTCTATCCTCCTCACTGCCTTCGAAGCTTTTGCGCTTCCATGCCAAACGTTCTGCGCAGGCTTTACTACATCAAGTCGATTCACAAAATCAATCAATGGACTCACAATTTGGCAGTGATGAAGGTATGCCAACGGGAAGTGGCACTGGCAACACTAGTGATGATGATAGCTGCCACGAGAGTATGGGAGCCTCAGCTCCACCCATGTCTCCACCACCACCACGCAATTCACCCTCCGAAAATGGTGATGAAAAAATTGATGTTGGTATGGGCTCCTCAATTGAGGGTTCCGAAGAATCCGAGGAGGATGATGAACTCAAACCCTTGGCTGTGGATAATCATGTTTTACATGACATCGATTTGACATCGTCGCCAACACGTAATTCGCCACTAAGTCCCGTGGCAGATACCAGTTTAACCAGCAGCACCGGCACAACTACCACTGCAGTATTAAGTGAGGCTAATTTAGAAAAATTCCGCAAAAATCAAACCGGATCTCATACACATCATCCGCACATGGATAATATCTATTTACATCCGAATTTCAAATATGATATTGCAGCAGAACCGAATGCCACTGTAGTCAACACCACCGAACAAAAACGTGTTCATCGTTCCTTTTTAACGATGAAAAAACCTGAGCCGGAACCGGCAAATTCTGTGGTGTCCCAGGCCACCACAGTTTCCATGGACAACAATAAACCTTTGGTCAATGAAATTGATACCTTGGATCCAGCACTAATTCCCAGTGATGAGCTGGCTAGTGAAGTTGCCGAAGCTGTGGAATTTTATTTCTCCAATGAATCCATACTCAAGGATGCCTTCCTGCTGAAACATGTCAAACGCAACAAGGAGGGTTTTGTAAGCCTTAAATTGGTGTCGAGCTTCAAACGGGTACGCCAACTGACCAAGGAATGGAAAGTTGTGGGTAACGCCGTTCGACGCAAATCCACTAAAATCGAATTAAATGATTTGGGCACCAAGGTACGACGTATTGATCCCTTGCCCAATTTCGATGAAACCATGCCCTCACGTACCATTGTGGTGTGTGATCTGCCTTTGGATAAACTGACCATTGAAAAGGTTTCTGATCTCTTTTCGAAGTGTGGTGAAATTGCCCTGATACGCATTCTAAAACCTGGCATGGCCATACCCGTAGATGTGCGGCAATTTATGAATAAATATCCCGAGATGCAACAAAAGGAGTGTGCTCTCGTGGAATATTTGGAATCTGCTTCGGCACGTGAGGCTCGTAATTTACAGGGTCCCTTTAAGGTTTACGAAATGGTTGCACCGAAAAAGAAGACCGGCAAGAAGGCAGTTATTCAGGTCACTGCTCCCGTTGTACGAATGGTGGAGAATTATCGCTACTTTAATGATCACAACTATGAACGTACGCGAGGCGGTAGCTTCAGTGGTGCCGCAGTGGCTCATGATTTTGATTTGCGTTATCGTTTGAAACGCAACAATTCCGACTTCTCAGCCAAGACATATCCTACAGAAATACCAAATGCCTATGTTGCTAATGGAGGACATCAACAGTTCCATGGACATGCTCCAGCCTACAATGGAGCACATCGCGGTAGCTTTGGTGCCAGTGAACCACAACATCAGAATATGAGTAGTTCTGCAGCTCCGACGACGACTGGACATCATCACAGTTACCATTATCAACCTAGGGGAAGTATAAGCCAAGAATCTGGACCACAAAGTCCCATTTCACCGGGAACCAATCCCAATTACTTTGCCTATAATCCAAGACGTTATAGTAACACCTCTACCATATCGGCAAATACTGCAGCTAATATGAATACGACAATGGTGGATCAAAACAAACCAATTCATCATCAACACCATCACAGCTCCAGTGGTTTGATCAACAGTGGATCGGGATCGAATTTACAAAGACGTCTGTCCAATTGCTCGCAAGAAGGTGGCGGCGGTTATGCCGATATGGTAAGACGCACATCAAACTGTTCCGATAATGCACCACAGAGGCGAGATTCAAATTGTTCCGATAATTGTCCTTGCTCAAGACGTGTCTCAGATTTTGGACAAAATACGGAGGTCTATCGCAAGTCTTCTTTGGGTTCAGTGGGTAGCAACAGTGAAAGACGTTTCTCCAATGGTTCGATGCAATTCGAGAGAACCTTTTCGAATGCCAGTGACATCAATAATGTCAGGAGCAACGAGAACAGCTATCATCGTCGTATGTCCAACGATTTCAATTTGGATCGTAAACAGTCATTGGACACACAACCTGGAACACCCTATGAAGATCCCAATGTTGGTGGAGGTGGCGGTGGGTATAATGTCTTCCCCAGACGTTATTCGAACAACTTTAACAATATCAGCAGTAAATTGGCTCAATACGATAATGCTCAATATATTGGAGGACGTCGTATATCCACCGATTCTGGTTACGATCGTCGTTGTTCATTTGGTTCGGAATATGAAGGTTCGCCACGATCACGTACCGGTAGTTTTTTGAATAGCTACAAACATGGACAGAATGATTATGATGGTCAGCCGAGATCACGTACCGGCAGTTTTATTGATGGTTCACCGCGATCCCGTTCGGGATCTTTTGCTACCCGTGCAGCGGAACATTTGGTACGTACACCCATGGGTCCTGATGGCAGTAAAGGTTTTGGTTTCCGGGCACGTAAACTGGAGCAGACAATTGGACCGGTTTAAGGGGGATGATTTTCTTTCTACACCTTTGCGCTAAGAATAAAATGGTAAGAAGAATTTTTTTGTTTTGAAATGTGTTGAAAAATACATAATATTTTTTTTTGTTTGATTGCAACGAAAGTGTTCATGTTCAAGTATGTATGTACGTATTATGTAGTATTGTTTTCTTTTTGAAATATTAAGGAGGATAATTTAAATGTAAGAAGAGAATTTAATATGACGTAAGAGAAAAAAATGTCAATGGCTGTAAAAATCCTCTAAAAAACCCTCTGCCAATTCTCGTAGGTTTTTAATTGTTGATATATGTATTTTTTTATTACGGGTTTTAAAACCACGCAAGTTTGTTATAATTATTATATTTTTCGAATTTTTTTTTTTTGAGTTGTGGGAAAATTGCAGTATTTTAGGTTATAGTTTTTAAGAATTTATTGTTTTTTATGTTTTAGCTTAAAGAAACAACAACAACAACGCAATTGGCAAATATATAGACAATAAATTGAGGTATGAAGTTGATTTGAAAATAAATGACAGGATTTTGAATGACTACTTTCGAGAAGGTTTTAGGAGTGCGAAATTTTAAATCGATTGGTAATGAATGTGCAAAAATCATAGTAATTTTTAGAAATTCTCAGGTATTAGTTTTTAAATCAAATATATATTGAAATTGTTTTTTTATTTTGTGCCGATTCTGGCAAAATGAAATTTTGAAATAAGGGAAAAAACAAATTTCGATTTTCTAACAAGTCTCAAAAGAAGAATTTATTTTTTATTTATATATTTAATAATATAATATAATTAGGAATTAGGTATTTTTTTCGTATAGTAATATCGATTTTTAATTTGTAATAGAATCTAGAATATATTTTCAATATAAATAATATATATATATATATTTAAAAGGCTGGGAGATAACTGAAATATATTCATGCAAAACATGTTTCATACAGAATTTGAATTTCACCTGGAAACATTGATTGTACACATAAGTCGCCAAGCAAATGTCACTGTCAAAATTTTTCAATAAAGTCACCCATCTAGCAAAAGTCAGCTGTTAATTCTTAAGTCTAATGTCAAATATGTTGACTTTCTTTACGTTTTCATCGTGACACAATGAATAGGTAGTCCATTTAGCGCAGCTGATGTCTCGTTTAACTGTCAAAGTGGGTAATTTCTACTTGAATTCGATGTGCAGTGTTGCCAACCATTTGAAATGGTGTAAGAAAAATTTTGACAGATAATCGAGACAAAAACAAAGGTTTTTGTTTTGAAACATAACCTTATTATTGAATCATGGTTTTCATAATGGAAGTCAATTCACAATAATGGATTTTGACAGCAAACTTGAGAATCAATGGACGAACCACTATGACAGGAAGCCAATTATAATTCCTTAGCTACATAAGGGAATGCATTTCTGGAGGAACTGAATTGAAATAATTGTAGCCAGGGTGAAGACAGATAGTTTTTATGGACGCCCTGTGGTAAAGGAGACCTCCTAGATATACCGAAGACATGGATTTCACTCATGGCACAATAAATAGATAGTCCATTTAGCTCAAAGTGCGTAGTTTCTAATTGAATTCGATGTGCAATGTTGCCAACCATGTGAAATATTATAGGAAAAAGTTGACAGATGGTCAGGACAAAAACCAATTTTTTTTGCTTTGTTTATTATTGCATAATGAATTTCACTATAGTTGAATCTAGGCCAGCATAATCTATATAGCGAGGATAAAGAATGTAGTCTTTCATAGATGAGTATTTTGTCTTGGCTCGTAAAATTTAGGGCTATATAAGTCGACAACCGATAAGCCCATACATATTTTTGACATTTAGCTTGAGAATGAACAGCGTTTGGTATGCATCATGGCACAATAAATAGGTAGTCCATTTAGCATGGCTGGCTATACGATTAACTGTTAAAGTGCATGCAATGTTGCCAACCATGAAAAAAATAGTATTAGATAAAATTTGACAGATAGTCGAATTAAAAACAGATGTTTTTGTTTTGATACATCACTTTATTATTGCATCAAGGAAGAAGTTCATGTTTTTATAGTTGAGTCCATGGCACGATAAATAGGTACTCCATTTAGATCAGCTGACTATCCGATTTACTATCAAAGTGCATAGTATATATCGTCGGCTAATATGCAAAAAGGCGTAACTAACAAAAAATTTAAAATTGACTTTTTGAATGAATATTGTGAATGTCAATAAACTACATGTGTTGACAAAGTTCTACACGTCTGCGGTCAAAAAAGGAGCTTCTATTAACAAAAAACAAAAAGACGTAACTACAAGTGGGTTTATTTGATAAATGCAAAAAGGCGTAACTAACCAAAAATTCACGTTTTTACTTAATTGTTATGACTGCCATTAAACTAAATAACTAAATTTGTTAAAAAATATAGTCTATTATTCGTCATATGCAATATCACCCTGCCGGGCATACTTTTTCATTTCACATGACATGTTTATTGTTTTTATTCAAAACAGTTTTTTCTTTCTCATACACAATTATGATTTTGTTAGTTACGCCTTTTTGCATTTTAGCTAACGATATTTGATAATAAATATTATTAGATAAAATTTGACAGATAATAGTATAAAAAACGTTATTATTGCATCATGGATGAGTTGTTTATCTTGGCTAGTAAAAAATAGGGATATATAAGCAGACAGCCGTTTAACACATTAACTGCCGTCTTATACTAAAGGTTAGACTTCAATACTGGCCACTTTTGAAACCCCGAAAAATATTGCCTTATTTTATAAAAAAAATCGTCGAATCGGAGAAAATGGCTTTATTTGAGCTCCAAAACCGCTTTGTATGTGTTTCGTAGGCGGTCATTTGTTACAAAATAATGCAATGTCTTAAGAGAGAAGATAGAGATGTAATTTTTCATTGTGTACAACTTGGTAATTCTTGGTAATTAAATGAACTTCATTTTCTAATGGGAAAAATAGAGATACGTAGGTCGCCCATATATTGTGACTCCATATCCCAATAGTGCAACTATTTTGAATAGTCAATGAAATTAATAGAATTTATGCTCGAATTTAGTTCTGACGAAAAAAAATATTGTCCGTAACAGGGACGTTCGCCGGGGGTCGGCATGGGGGGCCCGGGCCCCCCCCGAATTGATTTTTTTCACAGTAAATTTGTGTTTGCAACAGCGAATTTTTTCATTTTGTACTATAATATAATATATTTAATTGGTTAATAAATAATTGGCTGAAAAAATTAATGGGTCATATTTTATGTTAACAAATTAAAAAAAATCTATCCAATTAAAAAATAAATATTTTAAATCGGAAATTTAAACGATTTTACTTTACTTAAACATTAAATAAAATGAACTACAAGAATTTACATAGGGCCAAAATCTAATAATTTTTGGCCATAATAATTTAACTGACAATTAAATAAAAACCCACCACTTGAGATGGGACCAAGGGTATAAACAATATGCCTAGATTTATTATGATTAAAAATAGCAATGACGAATAAATAATAAAATAAACGAAAAATAAACATTTTCTAAGATATGGTTAAGATTGTCTCGAAAGAGAAGTAAATATAAAAATACATTTATTATGTTTATAAAAAATATTTATTAGTTTTCCTAATTTTACTTTATAAACGACATATTTATATTAAAAACGACAATTGTATTTTTTAAAGATTCTCGACATAAATAATAAAAATAATAATTAGTTTAAGATTAAAAATACTGCAAAATTTCCCACAACATAAAATATATTCATATTTTTCATAGGTTTTATTGTTAACATAATGAGTAATAAAATGTTTTATTTTTTTTTTAATTAGGATCTATTAACAATAAAATAAATGTGAAAAATAATAAATATTAGAATTATTAACATTTTAAAATTATTATTATTATCAGATATAATTTAATTTTACATAAAAAACTGTATAAATTAAAACAAACGAAACATGAAAAACTTCAACTCAAATTTCCAAGAAGATAACACATAATAATGAAAAAAATTGGCATTGAATTTGTACTTAATTGGAAATTTATTTCAAAAAAGAAAAGAAAATAATCGGAATTCTTATCATTTTTTTTCAACGGAAACCATCAAAAATTTTGTGGGTTTTAAAAAAATTAGTAAATTATTTTTTCACAGTACAAATCAAATTGGTAACACAATTCCTTAAGGTATAAAATGTATATGCAATAGTATATATAAAAATATTCATATACAATGCCATAGCATGAATTTATAAATCAATTATAAAATATATATATTTTTTAAATACAATTAAAACTACTACGTGGGGTGTTATTTTTGAAATGGTTAATATTTTTATATTTAAAGTGCAAATTACAAGTTACTATTTGTTATAATATATATATATATATATATTTTTTAATATATTGCATAAAATTGAGGAATAATATATAGTTGTAAACAATTTTACAAATTTTCTTTATTGGTTTAAAGTTCCATGTTTTCTCATAATTTCCCCTAAAAAAATCCTTTCCCCAATTCCCAAAAAATATTCCATAACATTCCATTATTCCTTTCCCAAATCCCAAACCATATTCCCATACAATCCAATATCCTACCACCATCCTATATCCCTTCCCAATTCCATATACCTTAAAATCCCTACACCATGATTATATGGAACCTAAATTAAAAAAAATATATAAAAATTAGCTCAAACTGCCATTAATATATAATACAAATATCAAATTTAAATCATTCCACAATCACAGAATTTTGAAAAATGTAATCAGAAATTTCATGAACTATTTCTCGGCAAAATAAAAAAATATATTTATTAACTTTTTTTAAAAATAACACCCTTCCATCTCCTCTCTTTCTAGCGATCTTAGTTTGTGTTCATTGTTTTAATATTTTTTTTTTTTTCAAATATGATTCTAAGGTGCCAATTTATAATAATGCTAATATTTTATATTATAAAATCTTTGTTATTTTATTCTTATACATATTTAATTAGTATA